TAACAAAATATATAGAGTCTGACTACACGGGGTAGAAACACGCTCGGTACCTGTAAAACACGTATATTTCTCATATTCCTTCGTTAAAAAAAATACTAATAGCATTCTTTGAAATATCTTCATATTTTTCTTAACGCCTTTCTTAGTTGATCGTAAAGGTCATCACATATTAATACTGAGATTAATTACTATTCACGAGCTTTTATAGAATTCTCGTTCATGAAAGGTAATTATACAATAATTTAGGAGTTACAACATAAAAATTTAAATTCTTTAAAGATAAATAGGAATGGAGGGTGACTTACCTGATCAACAAATTCAAGTCCATCCTCAAGGCACACCTACTCAACAATTGGACGAAACTGCGCAACTATCAAGTTCTACGATCGCCTTGGTTGAACCTGATGTTACCAGCGCGGATGCCACTGAAGTCGCTACCGAAGCATTAAGTTCTACTGTTGAGAACGATAGTTTTAAGACACCTAATAAATGTGGACAAAAAAATGATGACAAATCAGTATTGAATGGAGTAGACGTTCGAAACTATTTGCAATACACTGCTGCAATGATTATGGGTGTTCCATTAAAAGACTTAGAAGATCATTCTTTGTCTTTGTTTGAAGCTGGAATGAATGAGTCAAAAAGCTTGATATTCATGAAAAAAATTGACGATATTCTTCCAGCCGGCGTTGAAATAACCACGTCATTCATCTCTGAACATCCAAATATAGATTCGATCGTAAAGTTCATCATGGACATAGTCGATGGAAATAAACATCCCGAAAATGATAAAGGGATTCAAGTAGAGCAACTACAACATTCTTTGGAAGACATTGTAGATAAATACACTCTTTACATTCGAGATAGTTATACCCAATCCGAAATAGTTGTTTCACAAAAAATCACTAAAAAAGTTTTTCTTTTGACTGCAACTGGATTTCTTGGTACGCATATTTTATATACGCTGTTGACTTCAACGTCTTGCAAAATTTATTGCTTTGTCAGAAAAAAAAAGATTAGAACACCTAAACAATCTCTTAAACGTGCATTCTTACGTAACAATCTGGACACCTCTTTGGTTGACTCTGACAGATTGATCGCCCTCGGTGCTAATTTATCTGAGCCTTATCTGGGTTTATCAGAAAACCAATATGAAATCATATTAAACGACATCACTACAATAATACATGGCGCTTTTGGCGCAAAACCTGGTATGCCTTTAACCGCTTATGAAAGTTCGGCTATTCTTGGAACTGCGAATTTATTACTTTTTAGTGCTCAAAAGGAATTTCATTTCATATCAAGTATTGATGCCTGTATTAACAGTTCCTGGGAAAATGTGCCTGAAGGCATATTGCCTTTGAAAGCTTCTATCACTACCTGTGATGGGTTTGGACTTTCGAAGTTAGCCATTGAAACAATCATTACAAACACATTTGATTATTTACAGTTGGAACAGGTCAGTATCATCAGAATAGGTCAGATTACTTCTCACACAGAAACTGGTGTATGGGATCCGAATGAATGGGTTCCAATGCTTTTAGGAATTGCTGGTTTATCTGGTCGAATGCCGACATTTGACGCAAATCTGGATTGGATTCCTGTAGATATTGCCGCAAAAGCAATTATAGATTTAGTATCATCCGATGTAATATTCCGAATACAAGTGTTTCATATAAGTAACCCAAATCCAACAATAACGTGGGTGCAATATTTGGATAAGCTTGAAGAATCTGGAATGAAATTTTCTAGGCAAGAATTACCGAAATGGTTGGAGAAATTATGGATTGATGTTGAAGAAAATTCTTTTGATGAAAATGTTTGTTCATTATTAACTGGACATTTTAATAGAATGGCCTTCAATCCTGATAACGACAAAAAAAATCGTGCCTTACTAGATCTAACAAACACAAAATCACTGACTGGTGTATTGTCGACATGTCCAAGTTTAGATAATGAATCTCTAATTAAATCTAATATTGATTGGTTAAAAAATACTGGCCATTTATCAGAAATTGGTTTAGATCAACAAAAATCATTATCGAAATCAAGACTTGACCCTGGATTTTGGGATTGGATTTATGTTACCATACCTTTGATGGTCCTATTTTTTATTATTGATCTTTTATGGAATATCTTCTCGAGGAGTTTTATGGAAGTTACTGTTGTGGCAGGCTGGATTGTTACTGTCATGTTCGTTAATGATAACGCCGATAATCAAAGATTATTAAGGGATACACCATTGGATACGAGAGTGGATATAAAAAGACATGAAAATAATGGTAGGAAGAAAAAAAGGATTAATAGAAGAAGGATTAAAAGAAATGATTAATAATATTCAAGTTTACTATGTGATAATTTCATGGGAGGGCGTATCAAAAATGATGTTTTATATGAAGCACGGTAACGATTATTCATAATGACTCTAATTTTTTCAAAATACTTTTTAGTATTATTTTTGTAATATATTTTTATTTATTTAATTTTTTTTTTGTTTTCGTAATTGGAAAGAATTTTAACCGTTTTTTTTTGGTATGACGGTAATTGGGATGCACGTATTAATATCCAATAAATATATATTAAATTGATACAATTTATTTAGTATATATAATTGTATAATAAAAAGTAAATAAATTTAAATAAATTTAATATATGGGAAGATACTAGAAAAAACACAATTTTATAATTGAATAAAAATTATTTATTTATTTTTTCGAAGGTGTTTAAAATATAGAGTAAATTTATTTGGTGCAGGGGTGCACACGGTACCCCTATAGTAAAATTAATATAAATAAGGATCTAATTAGAGTTAAGGTTAGGGTTAAAGTTAGGGTTAGAGTTGGTTATCGTAAAAACTTTATGGAGAATATTTTGGGGTTACCCTAGTAAATTTTGAGATATCAAAGGGTGCACCAAAGTGCAGAGTGCACCAAAAAATAATGTTCTAAAATATATAATACACATTAAAATATTTTTATATAAAACAAAACTTTGTTAAGTTATATATGGTATATATGCCTAATTTGACGCATGATGATTAATTAGTAAAAAATTCGATGTGCACATTGCGTTCTGCATATTAAAATTTTTTTTGCGCACAAAAAAAAATATAAAATTGTGCGCAAAGCTAACTTATTAGCAATATATTTTAAATAATGTGCGCTATATAGTTAACAAATTAAAAGTGTATATTATATTTAATAAACATGTACAGCATATGAACAATAAATTTAAAATTATGTGCACATAATTTTGATTTTCTTGATGATGATATCTTGAGAACTATTAATTAGAACCATATGATTTTTGTATTATTTGATTTGTTTTATTGAAATAAATCAAATAGTATTAAAATTATATGATTTTGATCAATATTTCTATCATGTATCAAATTAGAAATAGTATCAAATTAGACCAGTATTAGTATTTGAGATTATGTTTAATAAAAATTTTATTTAAATATAGATAAATATAGATATATACTAATTCAAATATTGTTTATATTTATATTTTGTATATTGATTAAATATTCAAAAAAAATTTTATTGTTTAACTTAATCAAATTGTAAATATTTTAATAATAAATGTATTCTTACTAGTTAAACAAAAATATTATTTGACTTAATATATAAGAATGATTAAGAAATATTGTAAGATAATTTTGTTAGATCTTTAGCTAACAAGCTACAATACTTGACTAAGTATACGAGTAGTTAAGAAATGTGTTTATATAATTTTATAACAGAAAACAATTTATAAATAAAATAAAATATTGTCAACTTATTGCTAATACGATCTTAATAAAAAAAGATTATAATCAACAGTTTATAGACTAAAAATAGATTTACTAACTCAAATAATAATACTCAAAGAATAGCTCATATAAAGCAAAAATATAACTCAATAAAAACAATAATTTCACTATAAAAATTCAATAAACCTACTATAAATACATTATAGAATTACAGTTTATTACTACAAAAACAAGGCTTTATTATAAGAAAATAGTCAAAGAAAAGAGTCAAATATATTCAAAAGACAATGTAAATATTAAAGAAATTGAAGTGAAGCATATGTTAATGTCTCTCTGCCTTGGAGAAAAGGCAGGGTTTAAATATCTTTCAATAACACTATATAATAATACTATTTACTATAATACTACAAGATAATGCTATAAAATAATACTATAAAATAAAGCTATAATGCTACAAATTATTGTACAATAATGTAAATCATTGTAATAATACTATGTACTACTATTTAAATCATTATTATACAATAATAATGTTAAAAATAGTTAAAATAATACTATTTTATAATGATAATATTATATATTACTATGATATTGCTATGTAATACTAATATAAATCATTATAATATAATATCTAAAATTAGTAATGAAGTTAAATAATTATTAATACATCAATCTAAAATGTTCTGGAGCACTATCTGTACTTGTGTACTCTTGTGTAGCCTTAGTTTAGGCTCTGTTACGTTAAATAAACTAATTATTAAATATTAAAACAAATATTGCTTTAAATAGAATTCTGTAAGAAGTATACTAATAAAATATGTAATAAACTATTGTAAAAATATCTAAAATAAATAAAATAGACTATAAACTATATAAATAAACTAATAAAATAATAAAATATACAATAATAATCAATAAATAATATACTTTTTTCTGACAATCCCTTGGTTAATAACAAAACAAACTGAACTACAGAAAAATAATATAGTAAAGCAACAAAGTAGACTTCTAAATATTTCTAGTATTATACAAACATACTTGCTGTTGATGAAACTTTATATACATGAAATACCTAGAAGCAGGCGTATAAACAACAAGTAGATTGTATCTTTAGATCAAGCTTTTAGCAGACTTCTTTGCATTTTTGATATCTAAATCAAAAGATATTTTGGGAGCAATGTCACTATAGGTTTCTGAACAGAAATACTAAAGAGAAACTGATAAACTAGACTATACAACTATAATTCTTACAAGAAGAACCTCATATACTCTTGTTGGCTCATCACTTTTTTTTGAAGAATTTTTGTAAAAAGTAGATGTTTTAGTTTACGCTCTTCAAAAGATCGATATCATATACACCAAAACAGTTAGTATTGTTTACTTTCTAATCGGTACAACAGGACAACAAATATGTCAAAACATGTGTCTCAAATATAACAATCTGATAAACAATGCTTTGAGACTAAGATTGAGTTCTAACCCTATATTATATAGTCAAAGAAGTATTTTTCTACTGGTTTTGAGCTTCCATATACTATTTAGATAAATTTAAAGTAGAGACTATTTTATTTAGTAGTATATAATCTTTACAAGTTTTTTATAGACTTATAATAGTGATTATTAGAATATACAAATTTTTTTTGTTTTTTTTTAATACCCCTTTATCCCTCTTTCTCTTCTTTTTGTTTGTATCTTTTATCATATCCTCTTTACTTCTGTTTTATTTTTTTCTTTTGTATTTGTATTTTTATTAATTTAGCTCTTTTGACAATGTATACAACTACTAGAGCTAAGTATCAGAGGATTCAAATTCTCAATAAGTTAAAAATCTAATATAAAGCCAATTGCTACTAGATGGATCATTCTCTAAGTTTAACTTGAGTTGATCTTTACTTGTATAGAATATATTGTAGTATAAAAAATTGTATTTTCCTGTTGATATAAGTTCTAATATTTCTAAATAAAGAGTAATAGACAGGACTGCTGAATTAAAAAAATATATATATATAATAATAATATAAAATATATAATAAAATTTAAGAAAAATATTAATAAAGATATGTAGAAAAATATTAATAAAATTTCTCTGCAAAATTGTAAAAATTATAAAAGAACTATTATAGTATAAATACTATGATCATCACCTGTTAGTAGAGTTTACAGTCTATTAACGAGTATTAAATTTAGAACTACTAGCTATAGTCACAAATTATTACTACTCTTCTATGATTGTTAATATGCAAAAATTTTAAATTGTTCTATTTTTGATTGTTAAAATTACCATATTTGGTTAATAATTATCAAAGTTATTAAAGATATAAATTTGTATAATATAGAGGGTAATGATAAATTTTAATAAAAATATTCTGCTAAAAGAATTTCAAAAAGTAAAAATGATAATAATAATAGTAATATTAATAATAATAATAATAATTATTATTGGAATTTATTTTATAGTACTATAGCAGCATAGTACTATAGTGCTATAATGCTATATTTTATATATATGTATATTTTATTTTTATTTATTTATTTATTTATTTTTATTTATGTTATATATATATAGTAATATATATGTTGCATCTAAAATTACTTAAACTATTTACAAGATCTGATTTTAATGGTTTAAACGCCTACAACTGCAACTTCAGATAAATATCAACTTTAGATATAACATCTACATTAATGCAATTTTTTTAACATTACAAGATTTCACACTTTCATATATGTACATATGTAAGTCATTAAACTGTAAATCGAATTGTGCAAATTGACTTTGAGCTAAATAAGATTTTATAAGTTTTATGCTACAGTTTTATTATATAGTAGATTAGTTGCATAGCTATTTTCCTGATACCTAATGCTAAATAAGAATAACAATGCTAATAACTCTAACCCCAAATTGGGTCAATCTAACCCTAAATTGAAAATGCTCAACATGAATTCTGGTATTCTTACCCTAATACGTAGCAAATTATAGACACTAAGAAAACAAAAAACTTAATTATGAAATTCTTACTTGGCTTACCGCATAATTGCCATTATAGTATGATTAAAAACAGACTACATACTCATAGTAATAACTGATGCTTTAATATAAAACCTACTTATTAATTTTCAGTATACAGCTAGTGCAACTAATAAAACTATTCTTGCCTTTGCGAACAAGTCACTCGATTATGGCCGACAGCTCACAAATCTTGCAATATAATGAGCGCTTTGTCTTTTTTGATGGCTCACCTGCACGTCATATCCTGTTTGTTCCCTTTGGTCAACTTTTTGTTTTATGTTTATAAGGATTCATCAACTCATTTGGATCCAAACTCTCACTTTTAGTTTTATTATCAACTTCAATTTCACCTTCACTATTTGAAACCACGTCACTATCAGATAGCTTTTGACAATCTTGTAAATATTTATCAAGAATAGAAATAAAGTTGTAATTATATCTTTGAACAGCAACCATTAAAGCTGCTCTTGCTTTACTCATGTCTCTCTATATAGTTTACATTCATCAATCACTTTATAATTTATATTATGCATTTCTGGAGCTAATGCATTTAGATAAAGGATAAGAC